ACCCTGACTGTTCCCTGGAAGGCCAGATAATGAAACTGAGGCTCAAATACTTTGGCCACCAAATGAGAAGGGAGCACTCACTGGAGAAGACCCTGATGCTGGGAAAGATTGAAGGTCAAAGAAGACGGGGATGGCAAAGGATGAGATGGTTAGCCAGTGTCATAGATGCAACGAACATGAAATTGAGCAAACTTCAGAGGACAGCGGAAGACAGGAAGGCCTGGCGTGATCTGGTCCATGGGGTCGCGGAGAGTCGGACTCGACTGTGCAACTGAACAACAACAACTTATCCCTTGCAGTTGGGCTTCCACTGGGGGGGCGCTTTGGCAGCCATTTTGTGGTTGCACCCATCACACTTTTTCTGAATTCCAGAGGTGCCCATCTTCCTTGGGATGGATGCCTTCAACTTCCCTGCCACTCCGGATTTTCTCAGTGTTTGAGTCAAGGCAATTTGTAAGTCCGTGGCAAAACAGCATCCAAATAACCCGGGGCAACAGCAGGCTCCCTTACTGAAGGGAGGTAAGGTAATACAGAATGGGGGGAAACCCAGAATAAAAAGAAGGTCAAACTCGATTTTAGTGCTGAATGGGGGGGACGGGGGACCTGGATTAAAAAGAAGGTTGAATTCAGTTTTAGTGCAGTATTGCTTGGAGGACACAGCAGTAAAAGGGGAGTGTGAAAAGGGCCTACGAGTCACTGTTGTCACACCCTTCCCACCGTTAGATTTCTCTAACGAAACGTCCAGTGGGAGGGAATTTGAGCATCTCCAGTAAGATTGAATTCCTTTATTCAAAAAAAGCTGCTTTGGGCAGGGGAAAAGTTGACAGCTGAGCTTTAACACCCTAATGAAGATGCTGAGTTGGTTCTAAACTTGGATGTTGCACAGTAACCGTTCCCTGAGGACCGTCAGAACAAGAACTGCGGCCACCTGTGTACTGGGTGATCCGCACAAGTCTCCGTGGAGTTTGCTGTTGTGTGCTTGCCGTAACTGTCCTAAGAGGTGCCAGGAAGTCAACAGCCACAACGTTTTTTTCTAAAAGTCTCTCTAGATTTCTGTGCTAAGGGAACCTAAGTTGGCCGTCGATACTCGTCCTGATATCACGATCATATTATGGAACTGCTGCGTTAGCCGGCTGTTTGCATGTTGTATGACTGAGTAGCTGCAAGCCAGAGATGTTGTGTTGCCCTTGCCGGGTCAGTGTTAAGTGGGTTTAGTAACCCTACGGTGAGTTAAATGAGGCTGGATCTGACCAGAAAACTAGAATTAATGCACAGGTTGCATTCTTTGTCTTTGAACATGTTGGAAGTTCTCTCCGGTTGATTTTACTCCCAAGGAGGTCTGTACGGGGTTGTAGCTTCCCTGGGACAGTTGGCTTTTGGCTGGGCTTGGACTTGCTGTGCGCCGGGCTCTGCCTGCACACAGCCGCCCTGCTGCTGGCCGCCTGCTGCGGGGGGAGATGGTGGCGCAGCTTGCCACGGGCCCGGGCGATGACTGTTTGCTTTCCTTCGCCGCCGGCAGGCTGGTGCTGGGCTGCCTGGCTGGCAGGACGTGGCTGGCGCTGGGGTGGTGGCTCCTGCTCCGCCGGAGCGTGCTGCTCCTCACCTTGACTGCTGCCCTGTGGCTGAGCGCACTGCTCTCCTGGGCGGCGCCCCATCCAGGACCTGACGCTCTAGGCGAATGCCTAGTTCACCTAGCGGGTGAGCCTGCCCTGGCCACTGTCCTCTTTGATATGCAGATTCTAATCTCAGGGACCAATTTCCCCTTTCCTGCTTCTCTCTCCGAATGAAGACTTGCTCTCTACCTGCACGCCCCAAGAGAGGGCCCTGCTGTCCTCTCTTGGCACCATGAGGCAGATGGGCCTCTCGCCATCCACCTCCATCCTTTAGCTAGTAAGTTAGCAATCTATCAGTTGCTGCTCTTTCCTATCCAAAGTGTACTTCTCAAATAAAGAAAGAAGTATTTCTCTTCTAAACTTGCAGTGTGGATCTGTGTAGCTTTGTAAGTTGAGTAACCCGGTAAAGTGACACTCCTGTGTTTGTAGCCATATAGTCTTGGAGTATGCAGAAACTCCAGTTCCTAAACAATTGGTGGTAGAAAGTGCCATCAAGCCACAGCCAACTTTTATGGTGACCCTACGCCAGGGGTGTCAAACATGTGTCCCGGGGGCCGGATTAGGCCCCCGGAGGGCTTCTATCAGGCCCGCAGTGGAATTGGCTGTCTTCTGCTTTTTCCAGTTCTGCTGCTGCTGCGTCATTATAGGTTTGCAGCTTACAGATACAGCTGAACAACATACTCAAGATTGCAACAGCACAGACATTTTGATGCAATAATTTCAGAGCAAGAGGTGTCAGTTATCAGACACTGTTAAATAAACAAAATATTGCAAGAGTGCTAATGTTAAAAAAAAAACCCTTTGTGTTTGTGTCCTTTATAAAGTTTGTATCTCCACTACCTGGCATTACATTTTATGACACACATGGCCCGGCCCAACAAGGTCTCATTTATGTCAAATCTGGCCCTCATAACAAATGAGTTCGACACCCCTGCTATAAGGTTTTCAAGGCAAGAGACTAACAGGTAGCTTGCCATTACCTGCCCAAATGAATGGTGGTTGTTATGTAGTGGGTTGCCGCATGGATAAACGACCGACGACGACGTGGTGCATGGCACGCTTTATTTGGTACACAACAAGAACAAGGAACAAACGGCCGGCAGGCCAACTATATACATACCTGGGGACACACCCCTGGTCACCATTGGTGGGTTTGAATCTCCCGCCATGGTTCCCATTGGTTCCCCAGTGGAGGGACTAGGAGCCTAGTCCCTATTGTTCTTCCAGAGCCAAGCTCTGGCTGTTCGCTGGCCCCTGGTGGTGGTCAGCATACACTACAGTGGTGATGGAAAGGGCCATCAGGTTGCAGCTGACTAATGGCGTCCTCCGTAGTGCATTCAAGGCAAGAGGCGTTCAGAGGTGGTTTGCAGTTACTGCCTCCGCAGAGCAACCCTGGGCTTCCTTTGATGGACTCCCATCCAAGTGCTAATTGGGGCTGACCCTTCTAAACATCGCAGCAGCATAAGGCCATTGCGTGTTTCCAAGAACGTCTTCAAACTCATGGGAGCTGCCACCACCACCAACGGGTGATTGTAGAACAGCACCGCTGGGTTGGGCTGACTGGCCACTCGAACATCATAGCCTACAGCATCCTCCTTTTTGACCACAATTAGATGTGCAACAGGGAGTGAGTATGTTAGTCGCAATGGATCCGTGGGAGTTGCCCACTATGTTTAAATCGTTTTTAATTGTATTTTATAGCACTGTTGTGCCTTAATTGGTTTTAACTGTGGTACTCTATTCCACCTTGTGTTTGTAAGCCGCCCTGAGCCTGCGTGCGGGGAGGGCGGGGTATAAATGGAATTAAATAAATAAATAAATAAATAAACAAGGAAGTAAAGTTCTCGAGACTTTGCAGGTCTTTTACCGACTCGGCTCCCCTTTTGGTTACCCCCTAGCAGTAAAGCCTCTTGGTTTTTCACACAAGCAAACATTTATTTTTGTCCGTAAAGGATGAGTAAAGGGAATGCCACGATCTTGGCAGCCTGCTTGCTTTGTCAAAACAAAGCTCTGCAGGGCTGTGACTGGAACAGAGAGCCTTCAGTAGGCGGTTGGTGGTTGGCCACGCACTGCAGTGTGAATGTAGATAGTGATGCCGGAGTGGGAGGGGAAAGAGAATGTGTGAGATCTGATTTGGGAGAACTGCCTCTTTGGAAAAGAGGGTCGGTCTTTCTGTCCTTTGTCCCTTCTTGCCTTTGAGCTCAAAACGCTATAACTATAACTGCCTCTTCTGGGCACTTGCTTTAGAGTAGTCCTATGTCGGCAGAATGATGAGGAAATGGAGTTATTGGTGTGCTTTCAAGACGGCCGTGTGGGAGATTCCGATACTGTTTGACGTGTGCACGACGTTCCTGGGTAGTGGGGCTACCTCAGTTCTGTCTGCAGCTTTTTCTATAGCTTTGTAGCAGTGACTTGGAGCAAATCAGTGTCGCTGGTTATCTAGTTACCATAGTGGTCATCACTTTTGAATAAGGAGCCTCACCTGCAAAGCTTATCTTTTGCGAGGGGACTTCCTCTTTTGGAAAGACTTGATGCTTCTGTGCGTGTGCAGAGTGCAAAGGTGCTGGTCCTTTCTGTGCATGTGAGCTTGAAGAAGCAGAGGTTTGGCAACGTCACTCATTTTTTTTTAGAGAGGCTTCCTTCTGAACAAAGGTCGGTCCAGAGACTCCTTCCCTATGGAAAGTCTTCCTTGCCTTCTCTCCCGCTTGCCTAGCCTGGCCATTCCTGTCAGCCAGTCTTCCAATGCGCCATGTCCACTAGTGGCATAGAGTCCCTCTCCTTACTGGTGAGGTCACTATGTTGGCTCCTCCTCTTCCTGTCCCGTGCCTTATGATATGACTTCCTGTCTTGCTTGCAGTGGGATGGTTCTTGCGCTGCCATCTGGTGGGTGCAAAAAGTAGATGTCAGGTCTGGAGTAATTTGAAGTCACTTGATCTACATTTCCTGAGATGGGACTTGAGCAGGCGTCATGCCCTATGCGGCAGTCTAGCTCCTGATACTCTGCAAAACACAGGTGGTCGGTTGCCATGTGCCGTGACAGGTAGACTGTCACAGTGGGGGGAGGGACAGATAAAACAGCAGAATTCTTAGCATTGTTTACATCCATGCAAGTTGAATGCCAGTGTGTTGGGGGGTAGATGTGACCCGCCTGCATTGGAATAATCCAGCAGGGCTGGCTAAACTTTGTGGATGATAATGCACACTAAAGACACAGTTAGTCCTATTTTCAGGCTTGCTGAGTGGGATAGTGTTTATGAGCTGCATTCCAGGCATGCGCAGGTCTGTCCCTGATCTGATCTGAGAGCATGGGTACATTGTCTGGCTAAAGGGAGCCGTGGGTGATGGATCAGATGCGCATGAATCATCCCTTTTTTCTTGTTTTTGCAGTCCTGAACATGCTTAGCAATCCTCTGGGGAAGCCCCCTTTGGGTTTCTTGCCTCTGGATCCCATCAGCTCGGAGCTGACAGACAATCTTCCAACACCGACTCTGAGGAACACCCGTCTGGACGGCGGCCGTTCCCTCCTGTATTCGCGCTCCAGTAGCCCCTCGGACTCTGACACCAGTGGATTCAGCTCGGGGTCTGACCACCTTTCAGAGTTAATCGTAAGTCTGTAAGGGATTACTGTAGTCATTGTTGTTGTTAATTTATAATCCTCTCTCCCCTAAACGGACTCAGAGCGGGTAACGTTTATGAACCATACGATCTAAAACATTGTGATTTATTTATTTATTTATTGGATTTACCAACCGCCTTCCCATAACAAATTAAATAATTACAATAAATATAATACAATCAATGCAATACAACTACTACACAACTAAAAGATGGCGTAAACTCGTATGGAGGGGCAATATAGAATCATCTGATACGAAGGAAAAGGTGGGGAAGCGAAGGGGGAGAGAGAGAGGTGAAGGGGGAGAGGCCAATCTTACATGTACCTATTAGAAGGGAGCACATCACCAATGCTCCCTCTAAGCTGTGGAGCCTTGTGAGCAAAAATTCTACTTTGTGAGCTCCTGGCATTAAAGTTGTGAGTGAGCGATTTTGGCTACTACATAAATTAGTTTGCTCTGGAGCCATCCTTCCTGAGCTAAGACAAAAATGTGTGAGCCGGAGGCTAAAGAACTGTGAGCTGGCTCACACTAACTCAGCTTAGAGGGAACACTGCACATCACTGCCCTCAACCATAAGCCCAGCAGAACAACAACGTTTTGCAGGCCCTGCAGAACTGTATCATGTGCGTCCGGGCTCTGATCTTTCCTGGGAGAGTGTTTCACCAGGCTGGAGCCAGGGCCGAAAAGGACAGCCAGATAGTCTTTGGGCCGGGGACTATCGGCAGATTTTGACCACTCGAGCATACTGCTCTTTGGGGAACATACCAGGAAAGGCAGTCCCAAAGGATGCAAAGGATTTGACTCTGCAGTCATGTGCTTTCTCTCTTTTTTTAAAAAAAGAAAGGCTGTAAATGAACTAGTTCTGTGAGTGATGATAGATAATACAGATTACACACTGTAACACCAAATCAGAAGGAGATTTGAGACTGGGAAGGACAGCTGTGAAGGAGCTAGAAAAGATTCTTAAGGGTCAAGATGTGTTGCTGGCGACCAGGATCAAGTTAATTCAGGCCCTAGTACTCCCCATCACTGTGTATGGGTGTGAAAGTTGGGTCAATGAAGAAAGTTGACAGGAAGGAAATAGATTCCTTTGAGATGTGGTGGTGGAGGAGAGTTTTATAGATACCGTGGACCACCAAAAAGACAAGCAGGTTCTCGATCAAATCAAGCCTGACCTCTCCCTAGAAGATAAATTGACTAAATGGAGGCTATTGTACTTGGGTCACATCCAGTGTTCCCTCTAAGCTGAGTTAGTGTGAGCTAGATCACACTGTTTTAGCCTCCAGCTCACAAATCTTTGTCTTAACTGTGGCTCCAGAGCAAACCAATGCTCCCTCTAAGCTGTGGAGTCTTGTTAGCAAAAATTCTACTTTGTGAGCTACTGACATTAAAGTTGTGATCAAGCGATTTGGCTACTGCATAAATTAGTTTGCTCTGGAGCCATCCTTCCTGAGCGAAGACAAAAATGTGTGAGCTGGAGGCTAAAAAACTGTGAGCTAGCTCACTCTAACTCAGCTTAGAGAGAACACTGGAGCAAACTAATTTATGCGGTATCCGAATCGCTCACTCACAACTGTAATGCCAGTAGCTCACAAAGTAGAATTTTTGCTCACTAGACTCCACAGCTTAGACACTGGTCACATAATGAGAAGTCATTAGAAAAGGCAATAATGCTAGGAAAAGAGGAAGACTCAACAGGAGATGGATTGATTCAACAAAGGAAGCTGCGGCCCTCAGTTTGGAAGACCTGAGCATGACTGTTAAAGATGGGATGTTTTGGAGACCATTGATTCATAGGGACACCGTAAGTTGGAAGTGAGTTGATGGCACTTAACTCACACACAACACTAAATTTGGGCGTGTTTCTCATTTGTAGTTTTCAGAATGTGGCTTTGTTAAGACATAAAATATGGACAGGGACCATTAGGAGATATAGGCCCCAAAACTGGTATGTAATGGATAAAAACACACCCTTAAGTCTTGGTATTTATTTGCTCTGATCTACTTTTTGAGCTGTGTTAGCCAACCTAGCAGTTCGAAAGCAAGAAATTGCAAGTAGATGAATAGGTACCACTTCGGTGGGAAGGTAACAGCGTTCCGTGCGCCTTGGTGTTTAGTCATGCCGGCCACATGACCACGGAAACGTCTTCGGACAGCGCTGGCTCTTCGGCTTTGAAACGGAGATGAGCACCGCAACCCTAGAGTCGGATTCGACTGGCTTTCGAGCAAGGGAAACCTTTACCTTTAGCCAACGTAACTTTTCATCTACGGACTAAATTCTTATTTGTCATTTATAGCCCCCCTTTCTGACTGAGACTCAAGGCAGATTACAATGCAGTATACTACCACTAACAGTTATTCCACAGTGTTCGTCAAAGAACACTGCACACACAAAAAAAACACAGGGTGCGTTCAGATGGGCCGTTTAGTCCACTTTCAGCACGCTTCAGTAATGGATTTTATATCGACGTTCACACACCCAATATCTGCGCACCGTCCCCAGCCGTCGCTTTCTGGCTCAAACCCCCTTTAAAACGGAGTGTTTTGTTACCAGGTCCCCAAGTGGTGTTTTCCTGATT